TAGTGGGTGAGCGTATGTGACAGATGTGAGCGTGACGTTAGATATGTAATCAGCTTATGCGGTAGGAAGTTGTTTTGAAATCATCGGGAGATTCGATGAAAGCATACAGTCTTATACTGGCCAGCCTACATATTGATTATATTGTATTGCGCCGTAATATATTGTTTATAATCGTTCATTTATTACATATTCAAATATTTATTTAAACCACACCCTATCACTGAGTGGAGTATTGTAGTGTGTTAGCACGTAATTTTAATATAAAAAAATTTTGTTTGGATTCCATGCAGTTTTAGACGAATACTCAGCTGTAAGAAAGTTTGAAAAAACATAATACTGAAAAGTCCGTGCGTTTCTTAAGCTATAAAATAGTTGTTGGCCCTTAAGAGTCGTCGCATTTTCTGACGTTGTAATTCTTTATTTGCTGATTTTGACGCTGCTGTTTCAAGCTCGATAAATGTTCTGCGTTAGTTTTTTGATGCCTTAAATTGTATACATTTAAAGCCTTTGAAGTTTTCCTTCCAATTTGACCTCTTGCGTCTTTAAGCATGGCTAAAATTTTTGTGACCCCAAAAGGCCCAGAAAACATGACTACCTGAATACCTCAGGATAATATTTTCTGGCCTGCTGTTGTAGCACCAGACTAATTAGGAGGGAAACTACAACGTCTGAGCGTTGGACCAAGTTGTAGAGCTCTTTTCTAACGTCTCCTGGTGTTATGCCGAAGATGTTTGTGTCCAAAGCACCTTCTTTTTTTTTTTTTTTTTTTTTTTTTTTTTTTCAGATCCCAGTTATTTTAGTAATGATTTAAGGTGGGGAGATTGGTTCGTGATGCTTACCCGTTGGAGACTGTCGCGTTTGCTCAAGTTTACTTATTTTTCTTTCATAGCTGTTAGGTTCGCCCAGTGCAGACCTCGGAGAGGATCGGTGATTCCTGGTTGAATGCTTAGAGTCGAGAGAGTAACGTAATGTAGGGTCGTCGGTCGCCGGGGTTCCCAGCCTTGCGACGAACAACTCCGCTCGTGACGTCTGCCAGTGAATGATGGATTTCATTTAATAGTGGCCATCTTTAAATAGTCTTTTGGTGGATGAATCGTTATTAGAAATAGTTGTAAAAATATATTTGCTGGGAAGGTAGTTAAATGTTAGATGGCCTTTGAAATAATGATAAATTGGTAAGTGTTTGATGAAATTGATAGTGTTTTATTGTACATGAAGACATATGATGGCCTAGAAAAAAACCAGTGGTGATATTTCCAGTCGTTCTTTATTATTATTATTCTCAATGAAGCAGCGTTGGCCGCGATGGTCAAAGGATTTATGCCAAACGCAACCTTCAGACCGTATGTCTTAATGTTGGTGAAGCCCAGCAGAGCTCAGTGCCACCGCTATTGTTCTGTATTTATTTAATAATTTCTTGATCCAGATTTTCATTTGTGTTTTTGAAATTTCCATTTCTAAAATTGAATCGAATAAAGTATTCCAATCATTATTTATCGTTGATCATTTTTTTAATTCATTCACGTCCCATTAATGGCAATCGTTCGATATTCGTAATTTATAAAATTCCTGCACTATGCACATTTTCGCACTTAATATCTACTTTAATGTATCCTATAACATTTAATTTTCGCTTATAGTACGTAATCAGTTGTAGATCTGTTTGTAGCACTAGTATTCCTGGAAAAAGTTGTTTTGCCTGCTCTCTTTCCATGAGCGTGACTACTGCTCCCATGTCCACTTCGAATTTGACTAGTTTTCTGTTAACCGGGAGTGTTTCGAAGAATTTTTCTCGTTTATTTTCTGCTTCAACACCTCGTACCTATACGCAATCCGTACCCACTGCTGCGTCTTCTTTTTTTATTGCCTCAGCGAATTTCTTTTCTTTAAACGTACTTTTGCTGAATATCCTTGTTTCCCACAGAAATTGCATTTAATAGTCTCTAGCAATTTACATGTATTGGCTTCATGATCGTCACCACAAACATGGTTTTGGCTCAATGTTAGTTCTGATGTACGCTACTTGTAGTTACGTATACTTGTATAAGTGTACTTAACTTTTACTGTATTTTGATGTAACGTATTTTTAATAACGTATAAATATAATATATAAAATATATAAAAAACAATCTTGCCACTCAACTTTTCAACATTTTCTTTTTTGGAGATTGTAGAGTAAGGTTTGTAGTTAATGATCGTGTGTTGTAACATATGAAAATATTTTTATTTAGCTCTTTCGTGGAGCGCTAAAAATCGGACAAAATGCATTTTTCGAAACTTTGGAAATTTTTTACTCGAAAACTGTGGGGTTTAAGTAGGTACATACATTCCAATTGGTTTTTTGTTCTAAATGTGCCAAAGAATCTGAGAATATTTTTTTCAGGTCGAAAAAACAACTTTGACGAAATTGTTTACAAAAAATTGTTTAAACAATACCTGACCACATTCTTGGGTGGCAAGATGAACTTTCAGGTACATAACTATATTTTGGACGAGAAAGAACAAAAAAATTGGGTGCGAACAATTGATCCCCGTTCATCACTGTTTGAGCCCGGTCTAATACTCTGGACTTGTGACCTGCATTCTTTACACTTCTACGCTATACGATACACAGACCTGCACGCACATACTCTTCCGCGTTCGCTAATACGTGTGCGCAAGCACTAACTTTCACCTAACAACACAAAAATCGATCTGTGTAATAAAATATACTTGTTTCATTAATTTTTACACGATATAAAATAATAAAGGAAAGAACGATTTTTCTTGACACCTTATTTTGGTTTCTTACCTTATCTGTAGGGTTACTTTGATTGCATTGTTTTTAAAATTTTTTATTGAACACCTAGCTATTTTAGTTAAAAAGTATAAATAAACGCACATTTATGACACTTTAAAGAATAAATTAAACCTAACTTAACAGGAGTGATTGAGAATTCCAGGCAAAATGTGAAAAATCAGATGTTGGACTAATTTATTTATTTAGAGTAACATCTTATTCCTAATTCCGCTATTGCGTCAGTAACTTTGCTTAACATAATTTTTCATAGAAAAGAAGAGTTGCACATATTTGAATCTGTAAGGAATAAATGTGGCTTTTTTTCATCGAGATTCATTAAAATATGAAGAAAAGTGAAAAAAAAATCAAAGTAACCTCACTGATAAAAGAGGTAACTTCAACTATCTCCGGACTACTCATAACGGTGTACCCATCTAAACTTGAAGCATCTCTCCTATCGATATGTATAATCGATAATACACACACACACACACACACACANTTAATTTGCAATTTTAAAGATTTAATTTGTCATATTGAAAAGGAATTCATAAAAAATATGGGTTAAACAAAATTTTTTCGTTTTATTTAAAATGCGAAGATACATCGATAATATACACATTTATACATATACATACCCATCTAAACTTGAAGCATCTCTCCTATCGATATGTATAATCGACAATACACACACACACACACACACACACACACACACACACACACATATATATTTATATCGATAATATACACATATATACGTATACTTATCGATAGGAGAGATGCTTCAAGTTTAGTTGGGTACTTACACCGTTATGTGTAGTCCGGAGATAGTTGAAGTTACCTCTTTCATCAGTGAGATTACTTTAATTGTTTTTTCACTTTTCTTCATATTTTAATGAATCTCGATGAAAAAAAGCCACCTTTATTCCTTACAGATTCAAATATGTGCAACTCTTCTTTTCTTTGAAAAATTATGTTAAGCAAAGTTACTGACGCAATAACGGAATTAGGAATAAGATGTTACTCTAAATAAATAAATTAGTCCAACATCTGACTTTTCACATTTTGCCTGGAATTCTCAATCACTCCTGTCAAGTTAGGTTTAATTTATTCTTTAAAGTGTCATAAATGTGCGTTTATTCATACTTTTTAACTAAAATAGCTAGGTGTTCAATAAAAAATGTTAAAAAACAATGCAATTAAAGTAACCTTACAGATAGGGTTAGAAACTTTAACCATCTTCGGACTGCCCGTAAGGATACCTAAAGAGGACTTATTGACGTGTTGAGGTCCTTGCTAATGAAGGAGGTATTCTCAATTAATTTGTGTTCGGAAAAAATCGTAATCGTTTTTACTATGAAAGTATTCAAATATACTTTGAGATGTCAAAGCAAGAGTAGCAAACACATATAGGATTGTTAAATATTTTTGTATCAAGCATGAATACAATTCTTTATTAGAAAGTATTGTTCTACTTTTTCCTATTATTACAAGGAAAAAAATATCGATTTGATGACAATTTTGTCAAGCTAGGATTAATTTATTTAATATATTGAGTATACAAATTAAAAAATGAATATATGTCCTTTGTAAAATTGGTTGCTTACCATACATGTAAATGAAAGTATAATTAAATGATTGGTGTTCGAATAAGGTTTTTTTTTATTTAAATAAATCTGTATTATAATTTTAACTCATTTGTTCCTTCTAGACAATTTCTTTACGCAGGAACAAAAAAAAAAAATGCTTGCATAAGTAAGCAATAGTTTGTAAGTGAATGGCAACTGAATATACTCCACCTCGCTACCTTACGTAAATACCAATGAGTGTGTAAATTAAAAACATTTTTGCAAATTACATAAACACTAAGTAACATATTAAAAGCTTTTATGGAAATGTGGTTCCGTTACGTTATCTGACAACTATACATACATAGATGTAACCATGAAAAAAAAATTTGTTTAAACAACTTTACTATGCAATGCTGTCGTTGGACTAAATAAAATCAATGATTACTGTTATATTTTCAATTTGAAAATCAATAATATTTGGTATAAAAATACATATAGACTGTAATGCATGGTAAAATTGTACTTATTTGTCTTTATTTTAATGAATACTATAAATAAATTGTTGTGTAACAAATAAACCTTGTAGAAAATTTTCCACATAGTTCATCTTTTACAATAATCATAGAATGAAAAAGAAATAAACTCACCCTGTTCTGCATTCAGGTCTGAAAATTTGATACCGCCACTGAAATTCAAAAAGCAGACTGTGGATAAATTTGATGTCTAATGATTGAACGTCCCTAACTGCAAGTTTTTGAACCCTTAGGATCCACATCACTATGGGTATATCCAATTGTTTCACATAATTTGTATCAAAGTATAGGTGTGTATGAATAAAAAATTTTAGATGAGCATTTTTTTTTAAATGAATTAAACAACACTTAATTTAGTTACTGTAATGTTATAACCGTAATGAATGATGATAATCAATAATTATTAAAATAAAGATTTCATAATACTATGTCAATATTACCATCGTACGGTTTTTATGCTAGTATTAGTTGTTAGCTCAGCAACCAATGAAGTTGTGTTTTAAATTACATGTTGATATACATACTTTTTCGATAATTTTTATTACAAACAATAAACTTTATACTATACACTGAGAAGAGTAGTGTTAAAAAAAGTATTATAACTGTATTAAAAATTACTATATTTTTAGGTAAGCTAAGCTATACTCACCTGATGACGCAAAGTTATTACGTTTAAGATAATTTTGATTACATGTTAAGTAATTTTTATTATGCAGTAGCCCTACAAAAATTATTTCACGGCATAATAAAAATTACTATGTCTAACGTAGTAAAAATTGTGACAGTACAATTTTTGCGACACGACATAATAAATTTTATAGTAATCGTTTTAAAACGCACTACATTCTAAAGTAGAATTTGCTATGTGACATAGTAAAATTTCTTATTCCACTGCATTGCTATTCAGTATAGTAAAAATTACTATGTTCGAAAGTAATTTTGTACGATGTATATAAGTTTATACGCCTATTGAGTTTCAAATTTGAGGTTATACGAATGTAAATATTCAGAGAAACATATTATTTGATTTATCAGGGTTAAAAATTGATACGTGCCGACAATTAATTTTGAATCGACTAACTATCTGTTGTTAATACCGTGGTCCACAGAAAACCTTTTGATTTTTTAACTTTATTGTGTGTATGATAAACAGTACATGTTCCCACATGTACTCTATTCACACTCGCACGGACATCATGTCCCGTGGTCTAGTGGTTGCGGAGCCTGACTCGGAAGCTCAAGGATGAAGGCTCATATCCCAGTCGCTGCAGATCTTTTTTAAAATAAAAACATTTTTAAAATACACCAATATCTATGTACAATAAGAAAAACACATCTATATACATTTAAATCTATATATATTAATCTTCATGTAAATTCATTTTTCTTCTCTTACTTGAATATAAAAATTCTTTTTGAGTTGAGTAAAAATTACTATGTCGAAAACTTTTCAACATTTTCTTTTTTGGAGATTGTAGAGGAAGGTTTGCAGCTCATGATCGTGTGTTGTAACATATGAAAATATTTTTATTTAGCTCTTTCGTGGAGCGCTAAAAATCGGACAAAATGCATTTTTCGAAACTTTGGAAATTTTTTACTCGAAAACTGTGGGGTTTAAGTAGGTACATACATTCCAATTGGTTTTTTGTTCTAAATGTGCCAAAGAATCTGAGAATATTTTTTTCAGGTCGAAAAAACAACTNTCTTTTTGAGTTGAGTAAAAATTACTATGTCGAAATAGCAAATTATTAATATAATCTGGTTTTACTATGCACCATAGTAATGTTTATAATTTGGTGAGTACGTCTTAGCTTTCCTATGAAACATATTAATTTTTGTTATAGTTGTAACACTTTTTTTAACACCACTTTTCTCAGTGTATGAGAAGTCAATAGTCAGAAAAAAATTGGGGAGTTTAAAAAATATTGTACGTCTGATTTGTAATAATTAATTTGCAATTTTAAAGATTTAATTTGTCATATTGAAAAGGAATTCATAAAAAATATGGGTTAAACAAAATTTTTTCGTTTTATTTAAAATGCGAAGTTATCCTGTAGTTGTGGCATACCTGAGCAGCACGGTCGCTGTCTCGGGGACACGGAACACCTGAAAAAGAAGACAACCACCACTCTATCGAATCCACAGCGAAGATAACCCCAAAAATCAATATTTTTTTAATCGTAAATTTTTCAGTTAAAAAAAGATCGAAACAAACAACGTCGAAGATATTTTTAACAGAATAGGACACCAAAATATCGCCCGAATCAAGTAACGCATAAACCAATAAGTATAGTATAAGCACATTTTTAGTAATAGTTTACTTGTAAGAGAGCGAGAATGTACCATAATCAAAGCTGATTTTTTACTCTCCAAGTATTAAAAAAAAAAAAAAATAGTACAATATGAAATATCCACATATTGAAGAATCAATAAATCCAAATTAATTGCCAGTGAAATCGATTTGCATGTTTTAAAATTTTAAATAATTACAAAATTTAAATTCACTAAATATGACAAATTGTGATGATTAACTTGTTTGCAACTTTTTAAATACCCCGCTTTCGTGTTATATTATATTTTTATTATCAGATCTTAAGTGACGATTTCATTGTGTATTTTTATGAAATTAGTCATTCCTATCAGTAAGAAAAGTCATGGATACCAAATGTCAATAAGTAGTCATATTACATCGAAAAAAGTGTAAGAAATAAATTATAAATTTTTTTTAACCTCTTGTGTAACGTTGGAAATGAATAAAATACGTTTCTATTACTCCCACACACCATGCCTATAGGTTTCCCAAGCCGTGAAAATCCGCCAGGCATGGGAATTACTGAGTTTTTTAATTCAAATTAACGGTGAAATGGTCGAATTTTACCTCATATATGTGGGGGGCTGTGAGGGGTTTATGTGGAATGCTCTATTCAAACATATATATACACACTAGTGAGGCTGACGCCCCCCTGCACGCTCCGCGCGCCAACCCCCCACTAACAGATTGAGTAGACAAAATAACGACATTACTCTTGTAGTTATCAATGCAGGCAGAGAATGAGTTCACAACAGCAGAATACGCGACTCACAAAGGAGTTGATAAAACATATGATAACATAAATATTAATTTTCCAATAGAATTTTTAAATAATATCAGAAAAAGTCTTCCACCACACGAATTAAAATTAAAAATAAATCCTATAGTAATGTTAATAAGAAATTTAAGTACATCAGACGGTCTCTGTAATGGCACAAGATTAAAAATAACAAAATTATTTAAGTATAATATAGAAGCAGAAATAATAACGGAAAAAAAGGGAGCAAAGTTTATATTCCTACAATAACATTGAATACTGTCACCTCATCATCATTACCTTTTGTCTTCTATAGAAAACAGTTTCCCTTTGTATTAGCATTTTCTATGTTTATCAACAAATCTGATCAAAAAATTTGATCAAAAATGACGTAAAAACAAGTAAATAACTATGTAAATCGAGGGGGAGCTGAGGGGGAGTGGGGGGGCTGAGACTCAGTTTCGTCAATACAACTATACAATATAGGGAGATATATAGCTGCTGCTGCTGATCCTCGTCACTTAATACATAACTATATATTTATTTCTATGCTCATGGTTTTGTGCACTTATAGCAGGATTGATATGAGGCTTTTTCTAGCTCAAAATCGGGTCAGATGAAATGAACTTTCGGTGGAGGTGTAAGGAAAACATTACTTTAACCTAGCGTTAAAAAATAATCGATTTTTTATTTATAAATTATCAATAAAAACCAACAAGTATTTAAAAAAAAAAAAAAACCTTTCTTGGAGAATTACTGTACTTTTAGGTATGACAAATTTGTGGGAGTGCCTTATATTTTGAACAGAGCAAAAAAAGTAACCACTTATAAGTTGTCTATTTTTGATTTAAAACAAATTTTGAACCTAGTTTAAGAGTGATTCGGGTTGATTGCAGAGAGAGAGAGAGAGAGAGAGAGAAAGAGAGTGTGTTTAGAAGTTTATTATGCCTTGGGGAAGATCCCCATCAGGCCAAAGTTTAATTACATAATTGCTGGCAAACTTATAACTAAGGCTTAAGATTTACAATTGTATGCAAATACTTAGATCTAATGCTAAAGAATAGATGGTTAGATGGCTGTTGAAAAGAAAAGTAAGAAATGGTTAGATGGCTGTTGAAAAGAAAAGTGAGAAATGCTAAGATGACGAGAAGCGAGAGGCGAAGCATTTTGTCGATGAGACCATCATAACCTATTGCCTTTGATGTGGATGAGAGGATTGATTGATGAATTTCGTCTGAAGATGTGGGTTTGAAACTGAATGAGGGCAGGAGGATTGAGTGGTGGAGTGCTGTCGAGTAGTGAGTTTAGATCGTTTGAGGTGAGCGGTGATTGTGAGGCTGTGGTTGAAGAGTAAGTGTCGATCAAAGTGTTCGGGGCGAAGAACTGTGCAGGCGAAGGTAGTGAAGTGCCAGTGAAGTTGATATTGTGGAGAGCTGACTATTTGTCTTTTGGGTTTGAAGCTTAGTCAATGAGATGAGCGAAGTACGTGTTTTGGCGGTGGAAAGGCTATTCGAGACCTTGCTGCGGAGGTAGCGGTAACGATCTATGTCAGATGACAGTCCTGATTGCCGGGCGTCCAGGTAGGCTTGATCTTGAGACGACATCAAGTCTCTTATTTGCGAAGTGATCCAGGGCTTTGTGCGAGACGACAGGGTGATTTGTCTGATAGGGGCAAGATTGTCAAAAACATCCAGCAGAACCGTTGAAAAACGTGCTGTAAGGGTGTCCAGCGATTGAGGATTAACAGAGATAATGGGTGTAGTAAGTGATGCGAGAGAAGCAGAGGTATGAGACGAGAGTAATTCAGTATTGATGTGTTTGAGGTCGCGTGATGGGATGATTTTTGTGATGCGTGGGACCTGAATGAAGCGAAGGACGACTTCAACCCAATCATGCCCATCGATGAAGGGTGAGGATGATTTTTGGTAGTTAATGAGCGCAGAGAGGTCTTTGATGATGAATATATCAATCCAGGTATGCGATGGAATTATTGCGGTAGAAGGCATGGTGAGTTGGCTTAGAGGGAACTAAATAGAGTGAATTTTCGGTGATTTTAGTGACAAGGAACTGTGATGAAAATGAGGTGAGCATGTTGATATTAAAGTCGCCTGTGATCATAATGTTTGAGTAGGCGGGAAGATGGTCTGAGAGTGTGCCGAAGAACTGGTGAGGGAGGGCAGCAGTGGGGCGACGGTAGACTATGGCTAATAGGGTTTTGTGCGATGCTATGGAAGTTTTAAGAATAATAAATTCAGGCGTGTTATCAAAGTCAGGGTCTGAGCTCACCAGGATGGTGGTCTTGAAAGAATCTCGTATGTATGCACCCACGCCGTCTCCCTCCTTTCCCACCCTATCAACACGATAAAGAGAATACCCTCGGAGGCTAACCACAGTATCCGGAGTGTCCTGTGTGAGAAAGGTTTCGGTGACTGCGATAATATCTGGGGACCTATCGATAGCTAGGAGCTCTAGTTGCGCATGATGAGGATGATTGAGTCGTTTGAGGTTGGCATGGATGATACTAATATAATTTGTGGTTTGACGACTGGGGTTGGTGGGATGGGGTGAAGCTAGTCATTGGCGTGGTTGTAGGGTTTGTGGCGATAGGTGGGCCAGGTCATCCTCTGATAGTATGGGTATTAGGATGGTAGCTCTATTTGACCGCATAAAGACCTGTAAGTCTTTGACAATTGGAGGCAGGTAGTTGAGACGACGCTGTGCCTCTCTAGCTTTTAGTAAGAGCTTGTGAAGATGCTCTGGATAAAGTGGGCGGCAGAAGATGGAGTTATTGACACCTGTTCCAAACAGATCCCGAGCTTTGACGTTCTTTAAGCGGTAGGACTGGGAGACCACCAGGTCGCGAACCCGAGCGGTGGCAAACTCAACCACTAGCAATAGCGACAGGTTACCGCTGGTTGACGCCGTGGCGTTTCGGTGGTTGTAGCTTTCTTAATCCATGGCCGAATCCGGACGATGAGATTGGAACAGTCAGGCAATCCGATGGCAACAAGAATCTTGATTATAAGGGATCGGTGCTGTTCAGGGGGGGGGGGGGGGGAAGGAGGGAGACCAATGAAGCGAATTTCCATTGGATCATTAGTTTTAAATCTAGATTCGAGGGCGCTAAGGTGGGAGTCATAATTGCCCAATCTGGTCATGAGCTCGCGATTGATATCCGAATAGATGTTAAAAAAGCTTTAATCCAGGCTGGGGTGTCCTGCGGCGATGGGTTAGATGCGATATCAAGAGATGGGGGTGCATTGGTTGGAGTGGTAGGCATTTGAGTGGTTCTAGATGAGCAGGTGTCTGAGGCGAAAGAAGAATCTGATGAGGTCGGCGTGCTGGTGAAGGGAATGGTCCTGGGAGCTTTTAGAATTTGAGATGATAATGAAGAGAGGGGCGATATGCGATGTTTTGTTGCTGAAGTTGTGAATACTGAAGAGGACGTGGGGGTGGCATGAACTGAGGCTGCAGAGGTAGTGATAGGTAGACCAGCTATTGCCGGAGAGAGAAAAAGAGAGAGAGAAAGAGAGAGATAGTGTAATCAAGTTTTTTGACTACCTCAAGCAATTAGTATCCGAATAGGCTCAGATTTTTGTAGGTAGATTAGGGTCCAATGTCGAAGTTGATGGTTTGTATTGAAGCAGTTTTCATTAGAAAAAAACTTTGTCAGTATATTTACTGCAACATTTCAAGAAGTAAAAAACAGTTTGTTCGCAATTACTTATTTTACATACATTTTACAAGTCGGCGTTCAAAGACAAAAAAGCCAATAACTCACATTGTAGTATCTAACTTTTCTATATTACATTTTTAGACAAAATTTTTGATATAAAAGTTGTAGATCTCATGAAAATAAACATTTTTTGTATTGACTATTTTAGTCCATATTGCTGTCCAATCCCTTGAAGCAAAAAAATTGTTTTACAATAGCCAAAAATGGTTTTATAGCATATTTTTTCACATGTCATTTGTGAGTAAAATATTTAATACAAAATTTATAGATCTTTTTCAAATACACTTATTTTTTTTGGCCTT